AAATTATGCAAACTGCAATAATTAACCAGAATTAAATAAATTAACTAGATAAGTTACTATTTCGATGAAGCAGACTATTTTATAGTATCTGATTAAAACTTCGGATTAAAACTTAAAATTTGTATTTCACACAATAAATTTTTAACAAATCGTTAATTGCAAAAGCTGTTTAAGAATATTCTAACCAGTGCTTTAATGCTATACCACTATAAGAAAATATATATATATTCTCAGCTTTGCTGAAGAATGATTATTTGCTTTGACATATAAAAAAAAATTATTATTGCATATTGTATAATTTTGTGACCCCTATGATTAATTTTTTATGATTAAGTAATTGTAATTGAGATCATGATTGACAAATCGACTGGCTTTAGCAATCACGATCTCAATTACAATTACTTAATTATAAAAAAATTAATAATAGAGGTCACAAAATTATATAAACCACAATAAGTTATAAATAATACAATAATAATTCATCATGTATCTAAAACAAGCTGTTCAGGTGGGTATGCAATTGCAAAATGCCTCCACTAATGCTTTTCTATTTTGTCATAGAAAACTACTAGATCCAGAGAAGTCAGTGTAATATTCTCGCAAAATATATCTATTAATGCTTATTCTCTTTTAGATCCAAAATTATTATTACTAGTACAAATATTCAAAAAAAACAGTATGATGTTTTTAAAAGTGTATTTGTCAATGTGTTTCCTCTTTCTGATCTATAGTTAATCTAAAAAAGGTTAGAGTGAAGTTATTACCAAGTGCATCCATCAATGCTTTTATTTCTTCTAATGTGAGATTGTTAGTCAAAAATCAATATAGCATTCTGTATTAAAGGTTGACCAACTTTCGATTAAAAATTATTACTATCCAAGTATAAAAAAGTTAATGTGATATTCTAACTTCTGAACCAAGATTATTATTACTTTGAAGTTTGCGTACTGTTCTTGAAAATGCAATTGCTAATATATTTCCTTTTTCTAATCCAAGGTTATTGTTATAAAGATTTAAAGAAATCAGCGTGGTAGTATTCTAACTTCTGACTCAAGATTATTATTACTTTGAAGTTTGTGTGCTGTTCTTGAAAATGCAACTGCTAATTCATTTTCTTCTTCTAATCTAAGGTTATTGTTATAAAGATTCGAAGAAATCAGTGTGGTAGCATTCTAATTTCTGACTCAAGATTATTATTACTTTGAAGTTTGCATGCTGTTCTTGAAAATGCAGCTGCTAATATATTTCCTTCTTCTAATCCAAGGTTATTGTTATAAAGATTCGAAGAAATCAGCATGATAGCATTCTAACTTCTGATCTAAGATTATTATTACTTTGAAGTTTGCATGCTGTTCTTGAAAATGTAGCTGCTAATACATTTCCTTCTTTTAATCCAAGGTTATTGTTATAAAGATTCGAAGAAATCAGCGTGGTGTTTATGCAAAATACCCTGTTAATTTTTTTCAAATGACTAAGCCTAAATTTTTAAATAAATAATAATAATAATAATAACAATAAATAAAGAAATTTAAAAATTACAGGCTAAATTGAAATGAATGAGGGTAATTGGGTTACAGGCTAACTTCTCAAAATCAATTTTTTGAAATACTATTTTAGATATTCAATTCATTTAACCAACAAGTTTTTTCACCGACAGTTATTTCGCCGCAAGTTTTTTTTTAAAAAATTGCACTAAAATTAACTCTAATTCTAAACCTAATCTTAATGACAATGATCAGAATTACTTTGTTAGTGAAATGACTTTTAGTGAAATAAGCTGTCAGTGAGCTAAGTTGTCAGTAAAGTGATTGTGATTATCATCATGGTTACGTAATCATAATACGTAATATGTCAGTATCATGTAATCACTATTGTTTCTAAGAATGTAATAAATGTATATGTTACACCTCCCCTTTTTTTAAAGTACGAGGTCCCTGAGTAATACAAATTACTTATAATAATAATGATTAGAAATTTTTTATTGATACAATTTTAATTTTGCTATTCAAAAGAATTTTAAAGAAATATAGTGGGTTCTCAAGTAGGATGGCTATAATATTTCTTTAACCAATTCGTATTTACTATGTTCTTCATTACCTTCCTTTCTAAAGTTCGTAGCTTATATGTCCCTAGCGTACTGTAATTGTGGATATAGAAAAGGCCTTTTTATTTTTCTCGTAGCTTGTCACTATAAATATTTTCTTTAGCAGATTCATAGAGTAGAACTTGATCTTCAATTTTAAACTCTTCAGGTTTTATTTTTTTATCATGATATTTTTTTGTTATTGTTGAGCCTTGCAAATATTGTCTTGGGCTTGTAGCCTTTGTTGGTGCGCTGTTCAGTAATCTTTTTAATGTGTTGTTCCAATAATTGTTCTAATGATATTTCTTGTGTTTCTTTTTTTTCTTGTAAGATCTAATAGTATAGTGGCGCATCGTCTGTATAGAAGATAAAATAGATTGAATCGAGTGGTATAATTTTGAAAAGTGCGATATGCGAACAAGGCGGCAGGTAATAGGGTGTCTCAAGTAGTCTTGTAATCACCTACAAGCTTTGCAAAAGTGGAACAGAGAGTTTTATTAAACCTTTTGATTAATCTATTCATTTGAAAATGGTAAGCAGCAGCAAGATGATGGCAGATAAACATGATTTCACATAGAGCATCAACAATTTTGTTGCAAAAGGAACTGCTTTGATCAGATAGTAAAGTTTTAGGACAACTGTGATAGCAAATAATGTCTTCATAAATGAACCATGCTATGGTAGATGCTATTATATCAGGAATCACGCAAGTTTTGAGCCATTTTGTTAGATATTCTGTGGCTACTATGATATAACAATTTCTATTTTCTGTGATATCTTTGAAAGGTCCAATGATGTTTATTCCAACCCTGTCAAAACAGGCTCCTACTTCAAGTAGATATAATTTTTCATGTAGTCATAAAGCTCCTTGTCACTGACATACATCGCAGATTTGTATGTATTCATGAATAGTCTTGTATATTCATAGCTAAAAGTACTTATCTTTTACTTGACTATAGGTCAATTCTATACCGAAGTGTCTTGCTATAATATCAGAATAGAGTCCATACATAATTTTTTCTAATTTGTTCTCTTTAATTACACGTAATGGAATTTTCTTGCTAACTTTACTTTTACAATATAGGAGGTCTTCAGTGATAAAATAATGGCAACTTGTTTTTAAATGTTTTCTGTTGCTTTTGATCTAAATTTGTTGAGACTTTAGTAGTTTCTAGGTATGTCTTGATTTGTTGGTATTGTTGTAGATCTATTTTTAAAAAATTTTAATTAATAAAAGTTTTTTTTTTTTTTTTAATTATTGTTACCAGATACCGTAACCTAAACTAGATTAACAAATTTATAGGTAAGTGCTTGTCTTTTTTTTTTTTTTTTTTTTTTTTTTTAACTAATTATACATTTAAACTTTCTTTTTATATGTTGATTCAATGTTATTACTAATAATTCCTCTTTCCTCACGGGAGCTGGTGAGGAATTCTCAATAGGGCATTGATGTTGGCGTAGATAAAATCTTTCCTATACCAAATTGTATATAGATATTCTGTAGCAATCATAATCTACCATGCAATTCTGCCAGTAGGTTGGGGTTGTTTAAAAGCTACTTTAAGGCTTGATGATCAGTTACTAACTCAAATTCTTTACTATATATGTAGAGATGAAAGTATTGCATAGTTCAAATAGTGGTTAAGCATTCTATCTTAGTGGCAAAATAATTTTTTTCTAGATTGTTTAACCCTCTACTTCGTATGCCACCATATACTCTCTATTACTGTTGTCTTTTTGGGCTAAAACAGCATCTAAGCCCATATATGAAGCATTAGTATATAAAATAAAGAGCTTACTAAAGTCAAGATGATATAAAATAAAGCGTTATTAGCCTTTGTTTCAATTTTTCAAAGGCTTCTTGATATTGGTTATCTCATTTATATGAGATATTCTTCTTTAAAAATAAGTTGAGTGGGTATATGATTCTCGAAAAATTCTTTACAAACTTTTAATAATATGAGGCCAGGCCTATAAAGTCTCATAATTTAGTTAAATTCATCAAAACAGAGAAATCTCGTGCTTTCTCTACTTTAACAGGGTCAGAGGCAATACCTATTTTACTTATAAGGTGACCCAAGAATGATGACTACTTTTTAAGAACTGATATTTGTCTTTATTAAGTTGTAACCCAGTGGCTCTTAGTAGGTCAAAGACTTGTTATAGACTTGTTAAGTACTTCACGAAGGTTTTCGAATAGATATTTATGTCATCCAAGTAAATTAAAATGAATTTCTCATTAACTGAATGCAAGACTTTATTCATTAGTCTTTGAAAAATTGCCAGGGTATTAGTTAGTCTAAATAGTATTACCAAAAATTTGTATAGCCTGTTTTTCATAACAAAGACAGTTTTTTCACAATCTTCAGAGTGCATTTCTATTTGCCAATATCTGCTTGCCAAATCCAGAGTTGAGAACCATTTGGATTGATTTAAAGTACTGAGGATGTCGTCAATACGAGGTAATGGGTAGGAATCCTTGATTGTTATAGCATTCAATTTTCGGTAATCTATACAGAACTGAGTCTTGCTATTCTTTTTCTTTATCAATACTATGAGTGAACTCCATAGGCTTGTTGATTTCTGAATTATTCTATATTTTAACATCTGTTTAACTTCTTGTATAATAAACTCATTTTCAGCATGAGATATTTGGTAGGGTCATTGCTTTATGGGTTGTGCTTCTTTGTTCAATTTAATCGGTTGTGTCTTGAGATTCATTTTTCCCAATTGTGTTAATCCTTCTGTGAATAAATGCTCATTTTCCTCTAATAATTTTTTAACCTGTTTTTGTTAATTTATTTCTAGTTTGTCTATTCTCCCAGAACTTTTTCTTATTCCCCAATTCATTATCCATATTATCTATTAAACACTCTAGTATTTCCAAATTTTCAATTACCTCTCTACATTCAAAGCAATTGTTCTTTCCTCGATTTACAGTTTTTCCACATAGACATAACCTATTCAAATTTTTTGATTCCTTACCAGTCTTTTTATACTTATAACTTGCCCAAATTTTTCTTCTTATTTGCCTATACTCTTCAATAGATTTTTCTTTTCCTTCTATGCTGATACAATTTTTTTTAATTTCTACAATAGGTGATTCGTCTACATCTTTAATTACTATGTAACTTCTTTCTTCTTTGACTTCATCGAACTCATACTCTTT